ATGTGTTGTATAGTGAATGGTGGGCCGGGAGGGCCCCTCACAGCCTCAATATATGATAGTTAGAAACCCATTCAATTCCAACGACTCTTTTTACGGGGTTTATCGTCGGCGCCGGTATTAGCCGTCCAACTCGTGTCAGTAGCGGCCGTGAACTGTGACTTGTATTGGGCCTGAAATGCAGACCTCATGGCATTCACGCGCTGCGATTTGGACGAGTCTTTGGACGATGAGGTGGTCGTGGGAACAGTAGAGATGATACTCGAGGAATAGGTGTCGTGACTCTCATAATTGGATGTCGATGTCGATGAGGTGGAGCCCTAAATCGAGACATTGATTAAGAAATTAAAATTCAAACAACTTTTTAGACAGACCTTAGCTCCCAATCCAAGTCGTGGTCTAGTCTTGAAGCCAAGCCCAGCGCCGCCGACATTGAGTCTCTTCGCGCCCTTCTCTTTGAATCGCGACTTTTTAAACCACTGGCTCTGCATTGCGAGCGCCAGTAGTTTTGGCGGCACTTCTTGGTTAGCGCCCTCCAGATTCCTTACCAGATGTCCAGCAAATTCTTTATCCTTTTCAGTAACCAAAGTATAGGCCACGCCTTTCTCGCCCGCCCTACCGGTGCGTCCAATTCGATGTGTATGAGTGTCGATATCTCTGGCGATATCATAATTAATGACAGTTCTTATATGAGTGATGTCGAGACCACGAGCCGCCACATCAGTGGCCACAAGAATTGGGAACTTTTTGCTCTTGAATTCTGACATCACTTTATTTCTCTCCATTTGGTTCATATCGCCGTGGATTAGAGACACTTCCATGTCGTGAGTCTTGAGATTTGTGGCCAACTCTTCTGCGTTCAACTTCTTGGTCACAAATATCAAAACACTTCCGTTTGACGTGAACTCTACAATCCTAGTCGTAAGCCATTCCCACTTCTTGGGCCCTTCTTCTAAAATCAGTACCACTTGAGTAATGTCTTCATTGGCTTCTCCAACCTCTCCCTGAACTATACGAATGGGATCGAGGAGTACATCTCTGGCCAACTTCTCAACCTTTTTCTTAAACGTTGCGCTAAACATAAGAGCTGTCCATGAAATACAAACAAACAGTGAATTCCTGATTCAATACAACAACTCAAGACATACTCTGCCGATCGGGTCGGATGTGATTGCAGATGGATCTGACCTGTGGTTCAAATCCCATGTCAAACATGCGGTCGGCCTCATCCAACACCAGAAACGTCACCCGCAAGAGGTTTGTGGCTTTCATTTTGATTAAATCGATAATTCGACCCTAAATTCAATATAAATTACTATTAATTCTGTGACAATCAAACCGAAAGAGAAGTGCAATACAGGGGTCGCCACCACTATTTCTGCGCCATTCTCGAGATCCTTGGACTGTTCAAACTTATTGCCGCCCCCGTAGGCGCACACGATGTTAATGCCATACACTTTACCAAATCGTTTAGCTTCGGTATATATCTGTAGCGCTAACTCTCGAGTGGGCGCTAAGATCAGACCAATTGGTCCGTCGCCTGACTTGAGCTCCGGCTGATCCATGATATGGACCAAAAGGGGCCAAATAAATGCCGCCGTTTTGCCCGAACCCGTCTTTGCGATACCGATAATGTCTCGACCGCTGAGGGCTGTGGGAACGGCCAGCGCCTGTATGGCCGTCGGCTTGAAGTACTCTAATTTGCGAATACTTTTCATGAGTTGGTCGTCAAACCCGAAGTGAGCAAAACTGGTCACAGCTTTCGGTGGCGTAAGACCCGACACTTTGATCCCTAACTTATGGTTCAATAGATTGCAATCATTAGTCGACAACTGTTTGATCTCTTCGTGTTCGACGTAAAAGTTCTTTTCAAATGATTGGTAAGAGATCTGCGAGTGATATACGGGTGGCAACGGATCGATGAGCTTTGACTTGTGGTCTGCGACGGGATTTCCGTCGGCGTCGTACTCAATGTCCTCCAACTCATCGTCACTATCGCCCACAAGAGTGCCGACGCCTGCCATCGGATTCTCCTCCATATATCTGTAATACGACTCTTCTATGTCTTCCCTCTCGATGTCATCTCTAATGCCTTTCGTTTCTGAAGTCTTCACTGCTTTCGACAGAACAGTGCTCTTCATAGCCATCAATGGCTCACTTCTTGAGGCAATGGATGTCTTGGGTTTGTCGGGTTTACTCTGTTTCTCGAGGTCTGCCATAAAGGCATCCAAAGGGTCCTCTTCCGAGTCGTCGTCGTTGTCATTGTCGTTGTCATCCACTCTTGTGGTGTCTTCTGTAGGACTGCCGGGTTTGGGTATATAATCGGGTTGTGAGACCTGTTGGTCGTCGTCGTCGTCGAAGTAGTCGTCGTCTGTCTTCGCTCTTTGTCTTCGGTTCACATAATTGAAGTCAAATGTCTTGCCGTCCGAAGAGATTTCATTGCACTTCGAGTAGGACTGCCTTTTGTTGAGGTTTTCCGG